AAGTGTGCTGAATAAAATACTTCCCTCGAGGGTTAGGTCTACCTGTGAATGTCACTGTACCACACCAGGTGACACATCTTCTCATTGTATATTCTTCGGGCATCTCAATTGTTGGGAGAGCGTATGTATACTCTGCCTTCTCTTTTATCTCTGAGCGTCTTTCATGCTACCGCATGGAGATGCCTCTTTCTCTTTAAGGGATGCACGGCTGTGTGTGTCACCTGTCAGCTCCTGTCATCTCACTTCAGACCCTGGGAACCATGAGGCCAGCACCCTGCTAGGTTTGCTAAGAATGAACCCCAGAGAGAGGCTGGAATTCTCTGGAGGGAGCTGCTGTCCCCAAACAAGTGACCTCATACCCTACGGTGGCTGTTCCCTGCAGACTCCAGCCTTCCTTTCCTTTTTCCTTCTGACTCATTTGGCCTTGCCACAGGCAGCCTCATGCTGTCCCCTGGCAGCATTGGCACCGCCTGGCCGGTGATCCTTTCTCAGAGGCCTGACCAGTTCCCCAGGCTTCTCCTTTGCTCTCTAGAAGCCTTGGCATTCTCCCTTTATGTTCCCAGCCACAGGGTGTGAACTGCTTTCTAGAGTTACTGTTCTCTCTCTCCCCTTTTTGCTTTAAAAGGTCTCCAGCAAGCAAGAAACCAAAGCCCATGAATTTCCCTTTGCAGAAATGCCTAGCCAGTTTCTGTTTTCCTAGATGGACTCTAGCAGATACAGTATTCAATACCAAAAGGCCCAACACACTCAGGGCTGCGGTGGCAGAGACCCTAAGTCCTGGCAGAGCACCTGGCTCTTGAGTATCTGCTGGAAAGCCTCATCTTTCTCTGGACCTTAGATGAGCAAACCATAATCTATTTAACTTGTCCTCTTTGATCTATGGTCAGACTGTCCCTTACCATACTAGTAACTTTTCTCATTGCTATGAACAGACAGGGCTCTACTGTACATGCGTCTTTGCTGTTGACAGAGCAACGTTGTTATGTGATGTTTTGCTCTGTTAGTTTTTTGGCTCTTTTGGGGGCCCCACCACACAGCTCCCACATAAATCACACACGGAGGCTTATTCTTGATTATGAATGCCTGGCCTTATCTTGGTTTGTTTCTTGCCAGATTTTCTTAAATTATCCCAACTACCTTTTGCCTCTGGGCTTTTTCCTTTTCTAACTTCTGCAATCTTACTTTCCTTTTTACTCCATGGTTGGCAGGGTGGCTGGGTGGCTGGGTTTCTGGCCCCTGAATCCTCCTCTCCTTGTTCTCTCATTGCTCTTCCTCCATTCTCCTTCTCTCTGCCTGCCAGCCTCACCTATCCTCACTCCTGCCTCGCTATTGGCCGTTCAGCTCTTTATTAGGACCATCAGGTGTTTTAGACAGGCACAGTAACACTGCTTCGCAGAGTTAAACAGACACAACATAAACAAAAGTAACACATCTTTATTTCATTAAACAAATGTTCCAGAGCATAAACTAAAAGTAACACCTTGAGATAATATTCCCCAACACCACTTAAAGGAGGAAGGATTTATTGCTGTGCACAGTTTAATAAGGGAGGTAGTCTGTCATGGTGGGAAGACACGGCAGCAGGAACAGGAGGCAACTGCCCCCATTGTGTTCACTTGCAGGAAGCAAAGAGAGGAATGGTGATGCCCATGCCTTTTTCTCAGACTTTTTTTCTTCCCCTGTTTCCTGAAATGCCAGCTATGGGATGCTGCTTGTCATGTTCAGCGTAGGTTTTTCCTTCTCTTCCTGGAAACACTTTCAGAGACACACTGAAAGGTGCAGTTTCTAGGTGGTCTCCAACCCAGTAAACAACGTAACCATCATACCCATCTCTTATTATCAGCAACAGTACATTAAACACTCTTTTTAAAATTTAATATAGAAACGATCTTACTTTACATATTAATCCCAGTTCCCTCTCCCTCCCATCCTCCCATACCCCCAACCAACCTCCCCAGGGAGGTTGAGGCCTTCCATGGGGGATCATCAAAGTCTGTTACATCATTTGGGGCAGGGCCTAGGCCCTCCCCCATGTATCTAGGCTAAAAGAATAACCCTCCATGGGAAATGGGCTCCCAAATCCATTTGTGCACTAGGGGCAAATACTGGTTCCACTGTCAGAGGTCCCATACATAGACTGCCCAGACCTCCTAACTCGCACCCACATTCAGAGGGTTTGGTTCGGTCCAATGCTGGTTCTCCAGTTTTACGACTGGGGTCCCTGTGCTCCCACTTGGTCAGGTCAGCTGTTTTTGTGGGTTTCTCTAACATGGTCTTGACCCCTTTGTTCATCCCTCCTCCCTCTCTACAACTGGGTTCCAGGAGTTTGACTCAGTGTTTAGCTGTGGGTGTCTGCTTCTGCTTCCATCAGCTACTGGATGAAGGCTAAGGATGGCATTTAAGGTAGTCATCAATCTCATTATTGGAAGAGGGCATTTAAGGTAGCCTCTTCACTACTGCTTAGTCACTTAGTTGGGCTCATCCCTGTGGATCTCTGGACATTTCCTTAGTGCCAGATTTCTCTTTAAACCTATAATGACTCCCTCTATTAAGGTATCTCTTTTCTTGCTCTCCTCTATTCTTCCCCCAACCAGTCTTTCTGATCCCTCATGTTTTTCTCTCTCTTGCATCAAACACTCTTAAATGCATATTTTTTCATGTATGTCTGAGTGTCAATAAGATAAATTTGTAGATGAGGAACTGATATGTCAAAAGGATTGTCAAATCATTCTTTCTTGGGGTTATAGTAATTCTGTTTGTAGGAGAAACAGAATCATACACAGGGAAGCAGGAAGCAGGTGTGGTACCCTTGCCCAATTCGTAATGAGGGGTTCATACAGGATGAGAGAAGCATGGCATGACCCATCTTTAGAGGAGTCTCTTTCTGGCCTTTTTCCCCCCAGGAACTTCGTTCTGAGACCTGTGGATAACAAAGGCCAAACCAAGCCACAGCTGACTAAGATGCTTCACCATTCACTTATTAGGGGGAAATAGAAGAAAAGGGGGTTATCTGTCCCTTACAGCCAGGCTGGATGGTTTAAAGAGTAACTTTGTCTAGTGGAGACTTTGTACCCAGCTAATGCGGTTGTAGTCATCAGTAATAGTACTTCTATAGACGTGTGGCTATTGGAGAGAGAGGCCATGCTCTTGGATGTACTGTGTACAGATGTAAGGCCTTGTGAGGCAATTCCTATTGAGTCCAGAAAAACACACATGGAATTTTGGTAGCTACTCCACTCTTGGTTTTTGTTTTGTTTTGTTTTGTTTTTTGTAGTGGCAAAGATGGCAAGAATCGGTAATACACAGCTACACAATTCATTTGCCGAGTCCATACCTCTTTTATTCCTCATCTTTGATTCATTTCTGGGGGGTTGATGCTTGCTTCACAGTGGCACAATAAAACATTCCTCCTTGCGTCCTTGCAATACATCTCTGGCAAGCTCGGGATGCCACCAAGTCATTTTTACCCCCTGCCGTCTGGTTTTCCTGTCATTTGTTCCCTGCCCAGCAGAGCCACAACACAGCCGTCATTGTCCGTGTTTAAAGGAGACACGCTCTGTTCTTGCCCTTGGCTCTGTGCACACTCAGAGTGGGGTCTTTCCCGCCCCGTAAGGTCTGGGCTGCTCTCCTGCAGGGGACTTTTGTCCCACTGTGTCTCGCTTGTGCCATTCTTAATTCGCACGGCTGAGATTCTGTCGTCACCAATTAACATTAGTGAAAGGCCTCCTGGATGTGTGGCTGCACAGGGGCTTATTTAGTATTCCCTTTGTTTGAGACATCAGGTGGCTTTTTCAAATGAATTTTTAAGTATCTCAGTGATGATGAAGACGAACGGAGACATCAATTAGGGATCAGAAAGGCAAGTCCACAGGAAACGCTTAAAAAGGAGAGCATGAAGGGTTGATGTGAACACCCCAACATTTAAAAGCGGTTTGCTTTTTTTTTCCAGTCGACAAATGACAAAAGTAGCAGATAAATTCATTATTCCTGCAAGAACCCTGTCAGCCTTCTAGCCAGACATCGGCCTTGATCATCTTAGTCTCCTCTCTGGCAGTTGCAGTTTTCAGTGCCAAGTATGAAATTTCCTCCTGAGCCTTTGCTAGTCATCTGGACCCCCGGGGGATGACTTTCTGTTTCAAACTTCATTCACGCTTCTCCTGTATCTATTTATCATCTATCTATCTATTTATCGACAGGGTTTCTCTGTGTAGCCCTGACCATCCTGGTCCCCTGACCATCCTAGAATATAGACCAGGCTGGCCTCACACTCAGAGATCAGCCTGTCACGCCTGTAATCCCAGTCACACTCCTGAGGCAGAGGCAGGAGGACCTCTGTGAGTTCGAAGCCAGCCTGGCCTATAGATAGACTTTTATTTTTTTATTTTTATTTTTATTTTTTGGTTTTTACGAGACAGGGTTTCTCTGTATTGTTTTGGAGGCTATTGGTCCAGCCCGGCCTCGAACTCACAGAGATCTGCCTGCCTCTGCCTCCCGAGTGCTGGGATTAAAGGCGTGCGCCACCACCGCCCGGCTAGACTTTTATTTTAAAAAATGGATGTGAGAAGAATCAAGAGTGAAGGAGTGGCAGTTGCGATTCACAAACATAATTTTTTTGTTCCCGTTAAGTCCCGATATGAGTCCCCCACCCCCCCAAGGGATCAGAGGGTGAAAGAACACCACTGAAAGAAGACAGCGGTTGATTTTGTGGTCTAAATAACATTTCTTTGGATCTGTCTACATCGTATGAGGTTTTGGACCTATCTATCCTTTTAGACGGGAGGCTAGGGTAAAGCGGATGTCGGTAGGAACTGGTTTTCAGCCGGGTCCTCCTGGACATTCTCCTTTCCGGAAAAAGAAACCCTAGGTTCTGTCGTGCATTCTGGAACGCCAGGCACTCTTTCACGTTCTGTGATGTCAGGGGCCTGGAACCAGCGAGGTGGGCTCTTGCAGAATTCGGCCGGCGCACACCAGCGGTGGTCGTGCGGTGCGAGCAGTCGGCCTGCAGCCTCCTCCTGGACTAAGCTCCCGCGGGCCCCGCCCACCGCAGTCCCCGCATCCTCATTGGCTGGTTCTCCGCCCGCCATTCCCTTCCTGCTGCCGGCAAAGGTGCGGGTCGGTGCCCTTGCGAGCGCTGGTTGGTCTAATCGTAATGACGGTAAGGGCTGCCATTGGTCATCAGGCTCCCAGAGTGGGCGGAGCAAGGCCGAGCGGCGGGGCTGGGCGGGCGGCGGGGAGTGCGCCGGCGCGTAGTCGGGGACGCCGAGTCCAGGATCTTGCTAGGGAACCGGTGTTGTCTTCCCGCCCCGCCCCCCTCGGGGCTCAGTCCCGTTAACTGTCGGCGGGCCTGGTGCCGCAGCGCTGGGCGACATGCCGGTGCGCTTCAAGGTGAGCTCGGGGGGTTCGGCGCCTGGTGGCGGGGACCCCGCCCGGTGAGCACGCTGCGCGCTTCGGCCTCACCGAGGCTCCTGGCTCGGAGCCTGGGCAGGGGCCGAGGATGCTCCGGCCCGTGGATGCTCCAGCGCGGAGGGACGGGTGTGAGAGAGTTCGATGGGGTCCTGGTGGAAGTCGTTCTGGGGGCGCCAGGGGCGGAGACGGAAGGTGGAGGGCACTGGACAGTGGGACGAAAGGCTGCTTTCAGTGTGGGACACCTGTGGTCCGTCTGACGTTTGCAGCCAGCTCCCCTTTTCCGCAAACCTTGAGGGGAGGAGGAAAGGAAGGAATGAAGGAGGGAGTGAGGGGGGAGAGAGAGAGAGAGAGAGAGAGAGAGGGAGGGAGGGGAGGGAGAGGGAGAGGGAGAGGGAGAGGGAGAGGGAGAGAGAGAGAGAGGGAGAGGAGAGAGAGAGAGGGAGAGGGAGAGGAGAGAGTGGCTAGGCAGCTTGCCTCGTTGTACACTTGTTTTAGCCGTGCTAACATTTCCAGGTAACTGTATAGCACCCTTCCACGCAACGGGTGGCCATAGTTTTGCAGAAATCCCCACTCTTAATTCTTCAGGGCTTGTCGACGGAGTGGGAGGGGGGAACGGGGGAACTTGCCTTTCTCCAATTGCTTTTTATTAAAAGGAACTAGCGGAATCCATACTATTATGCTCGCTGTGGGAACTTAGGATGACTTTCTATTGATGAGGACTCAGATTTGTTACTACACTTTATCAGATGAGCTCACACTTTGGCATTGGAGAACCAGCTGCAGGGCAGCCTCTCTGATGTCAGACTCCTGCTTCAGTGGGCCTCAGGTGGTTGTGAGGATTAAAGGGCTACTTAGCCAGGGCTGGGTAAACATTAGCCATCATTAAGGAGATTGTCTGGGTTTAATTCTCATTCTTGGGCCTTTCAACACTCTTCGGAGGTTGAGATTTGTTTTTTGTTTTGTTTTTTTCCTTTCTGATGTTGACTTTTAAAACACCATTTATCACACGGTGCTAAACTGTTCTTTGTATTACAGGGGCTGAGTGAATACCAGAGAAACTTTCTGTGGAAAAAGTCGTATTTGTCAGAGTCCTACAACCCCTCAGTGGGGCGCAAGTACTCATGGGCTGGGCTTAGATCGGATCAGTTAGGTAAGTGGAGCAAACCAGTAGCATTATAGCCTGAATAAACCTTAGGTTATGTTTATAAAGTATTAAAATCTGTATTCGTATAGCTGCCAAATATTTATTGATGCTATACTGTGATCCCAAACTCCCTTATGAGCAGAAAAACCAAACAACTCAGTAAACAAGGCATTTCAGGTTGTATATAAAATAGCAAGATAGCAAATGGGTTGAAGAGCAGAGTTGAAGGGAATACACTTGAGATCTGTCATTCTTGAAGGGCTACTCTGCGGTTGTTTGAGCTGGAACCTGAGAACTGAGAGGGGCCAGCATGGTGAAGAAGACTCCAGAAATCTTGAGGAGCAGAAGTATAGGTAGAGCAGCTTGCCCAGGTCTAGTTAGTGTCAGAGGCATGACTTGAACTTGTCGCTTTGGGCTAGTGCCTATGAGCTCAGAGCTATGTTCTTTTTATTAGTATGCTTCTCCAGACCCCAGAGAATTTGAGCCCTTGGTCAGGGTTCCCAAGAGAAAAGGGTGAACTGACTGTCATAGCTGCTCTGTTTCTTTCTCACTGGAATATAAGATCTCTGAGAACAGCCCTCTTATCTCCTTGTTTGCCAGTAGAAACCCAGGGCTTTGGGACACTTGACTCCCTATTAAAATAATTTTTATTTTTTATGCTTGTATGCATGCGTGTACACGTGTGTATACACATGCAGAGGTCAGAGAACCATCCCGGGTGTCATTCTTTGGGAAGTCCACCTGCTTTATTTTGGGACAAGGTCTCTCAGTTAGATTAGGTTTCCTGGCAGAGAGCCCCAAGGGTTCACACCTGCCTCCACCTCTCCAGTGCTCCTTTAGGAAGAGAATGCTATCACACTCTTTTTTGCATGGGTCCTGGGGGGCAAACTCAGGTTCTCATGCTTACAAGGCAATGTCAGCCCTAAAACTCACTTTCAAATTGATGAATAAATTTGAATTAGAATATGCAGTAAATATAACCTTGAGCAAATCAAACCTGCCTAGTGGGTCTTAGGAAGCCACAGTGCATGGGGTTGTCGGGTAGGGCTGAAGGAGGCATTGCTTGGTAAGGGCTTTACTTACGAAGATCAATACTTAAGAGTCCTATCGATGGCCTGTGAGAGTGATGTGTAAGCCCTCAAATGTTAGGCATTTGAAGCCAGAGAAAGGCAAGGCTTACAGCGAGGATACCAAGCTGAGAAGGCAGTAAAATAAGGAATATGTTTAAATTAGGTTTGGAGAACAGAAGGAAGATGGGTAGCTTAAGGCTCCTCTGCATTATAAAGATTCTTAGCCCAGGGCCTGACTTCAGAGGCCCAATTCTTTGGCAGCATGCTGGAAAACCTCTCTGCTCCTCTATTCTGTACTTTGGAGTGTTTGTTAGATCAAGAATGCAAAATAAACTGATCTTCAAGGATAGCTATCTCATTGAAGGCCAGAGGGGTATGACTGCACACTGGGTGATTGGCTAACTTGATTAATTGTCCTAGCATTTCTGAAATCAGCGCATTCAAGGGGCGAGTGATGAGAGGCGACCATGCAAGTGAAACCACTTCGGAGCAGGGTACATCTTGAAGGAAGTAATGGCTTAGGGGAGGGAGGTTTGTAGGGTCTTCAGGTAAGCACAAGGCTGTCAGGCTACTCAGAAAATGGGAGTAGACTAACAAGGAACCAGTGGGCTCACCTAGGACTGGCTGTCCATCCTCTCAGTACGGTGCAGCCCTCCCAACCAGGGTGTCTGCTGGAGCTGGGAAGACAGAGGGCAGCTGATTGGAGAATCTTCCTCTTTGCTCATTACCAAAACCCCACCCCTCTGTTACAGCCAGAGTCTAAAACAGTGCTCTTCCGTTTTGTTTTGTTTTCATACTTCCTATAGTAATTAGAGGGCCTGGAGTAATGGCTCTGAGGTTAAGAGCCTTGGTGTTCTTGCAAAGAGCCCACATAGCACACACATGAAGTTCACAAGCATCTGGATCTCTAGTTCCAGGGGGATCCAACCCCTTCTGGCTCCTGAGGATACCAAACATGCATGCACTATACATATATGCATGCAGGCAAAATACTCAGGCACATAAAATAAGAATAATAATTAAAAAAAGAATTTAGAAGGTAGCAGAATTTAGTTCAGTGGCAGAGCACATACCTAAACGTATGTGAGTGACTGAGTCCCCAGTGGTCCCCCAAAGTTAATAAAACTTTCCTCCTGTTTTAAAATTGATCTTTAATTTTTTTCTGAGCTTTTATAAATAGGATGTATATTTTGGTGGAGTGTGTATATACGCTTTAGAACTGCCACCTCAGCTCAATTCAGTCTACAGGAAATGTCATTTGCAAAGTCACCTTCATCGGTGAATTTGGCTTGCCAAATTAGAGTGCCTTTCTATGGGAAAGACTAACTGCATGCTTTGGTTCCAAGTTAAGGTACAAATGTGCACTTCCCCTGCCAGCTGAACTGTATGGGTGTTGAGAAAGCAGGGAGTCTACTGCTTCTCCTTTGCTGTCTGCAGCCTTTGCCTTCCTGTGAGACACTGTCCCTTAGGGCCTTGTGCTCTCGTGTCCCCTTGTTCCCCTCGCCCTGAGTTCTTGTACTGTGTCACAGTGAACCACCACAGGTAGTGTCGGGCTGCTTGAGATGGCAGGGAACCACCACAGGTGGTGTCAGGCTGCTTGAGAGGCAGTGAATCACTACAGGTAGTGTCGGGCTGCTTGAAATGTGTTCCTGTCTCCGTAACATGGAAGCAGGACCACGATGGTCTGTAGTGAACAGAAACACAGGTGGAAGATAGTGTCAAGCAAGATCACATGTGGAATTCAGGATCTAGAAAATGATCCTTTCTGCTCACCCACCCCCCTCCCGATGTCTTTGTGTGCATGTCTATTGATGTCTTCCTAGTCCAGGGAAGCCCATGAACATGGAACCCTCGCTTCAGTGGCTAAGCAGCTCAGAGAGAGGTTTGTGAGTGGTAGGTTTACCTCATGTCAGCTTTTCCGTTGCCTTCCCTTCTTCTCTGGTCTTACTCTTCCTTAGGTGGAGCAGCTCTCTTTCTGTTTAAAAAATGCCCTGAAATAGGGCGTTAGCTCAGCACTGTCGCAGACTCCACCTACCTCAGTAAAAGGAAGGTCTGGTTTGGTCTCTGTTCCTGCTGGACAGTGATGTAGAGAAATCGTATCTTAGCTCTTGTTAAAGGGTCATTCTTGAATTCTCAGGAAGGGAAGGCGAAGGAGAACCAGGATCTAGCACAGTGATATCTCACACTGTTCATCTTGGTCTGTTCTACATAGAAGGAGCTTTGTGAAAAGCTCTGAATCTCACAGACCGGGGCTTATTGTTCTAAGTAGCACAGGAAAGTAACGGGAAACGGTCTCTTACCTTGTGATGCCTGTGGCTTGTGTGGGGAGAGCTTGGACATTGTGACCTCAGTGTTCAATTTTACTACTACTTTAAAACAATAAATATTTGATGCTGATAAAGTCCTGCAATTTGGAGGAATTTATGTGTGTGTATTGCTATTTTTAACTTTTGCTGATGGGGGGGAGGGGAGTGTGTGTATGACCACCTCATGGCATGTGTGGAAGGGTCATGGGACAGCTTTCTACCATGTAGGTCCTGGGGATTGAACTCAGGTTGTTAGACTTGGTGGCAGGTGCCATCTTTCTCTCTCTCGATTGAATTTTAAGCCTCCATCTCTCTCCTCACAGGTTTTATTAAAAGCTCTTCCTGACTGAACTTTGGTAGTAACTAATTTTATGTGCTGTGTTTTGTAGGGATCACAAAAGAGCCAAGTTTTATTTCAAAAAGAAGGGTTCCCTACCATGACCCCCAGATTTCAAAATCCCTGGAGTGGAACGGAACCATCACAGAGAATGATATGGTTGTGCCACCAGAACCCCAGACCCTCCAATCACCAAAACCACAAGAGGCAGAGGAAAAAGAAGATGCGAGCCAGGAAAGAGCTCCCTCATTAGAGGCTTCCAGGGTTCCCAAGAGAACTCGATCTCATTCTGCAGACTCCAGAGCCGAAGGGGCTTCAGACACTGCGGAAAAACACCAGGATGTAACAAACCATGCACTGGATCATGAAGTGGAGTTGGAACCTTCCACCAAACCTCTTGCGGAGAGTATAGACCCCCGGGTAGGAATAGCCATCATATTTCTTTAGAAAAGAGTGACGGGTTTTATCATTTCATTACTACTACATTGTGTATTTAAATTTTTCTTGTTGTTACTTCCTTGTCTTGTGTCTCTGGTCTAGATGCCAGCAGGCTGCTGGAAGTTACTAAGAATGGCTCTATTCTTGATACTCTATTTGGTACTGGTTGTACTAAGGCGTGCCTGCCCTAGATGAACAGTCCTCCTCTGGATTTTATTCTCCAGAGACTAGCACCAGAGTCCTCAGGGATGAGGTCAAGCTGAGGCAGGAGGGAGAAGGCTATAGTTCCCCGGCTGGGGTTCTCAGCTGACTTCTATCCTAATTTCATTTCTTACTGTGTAGCAGCAAGGGAACAAACGGATTCTCAGTTGACAGGAGGAAGAAGGAGGAGCCTCTGGCTGGCTCTCAAAGGTCTTGCAGTTTTGGCCTCTTATGTCACAGCTGGCCTGCAGCAGGCTGGACAAGCACAAAAGCAGAGGCTGCAGGGGAGTGTGTGGGACTCTCACTGCCCCCCACATTGTATTCTTCAGGCTGCTGCTCTGTCCCTAGTTTCCTTCAGCCTTTGCCTGCATCCCTGGAGCCATTTAGGAGTGCTGGAAGAGACTCTGTGACTTTTGAGAAAGCCAGGGGATGTAGGGGGACCATGGAAGGTGCTGGGCGAGCTTGGTGGGCAGAGGGAAGGATGGCCAGAGAAGTGCGTGGATAGGCCAAGGTGCTGTGATCTCTCTCTCTCTCTCTCTCTCTCTCTCTCTCTCTCTCTCTCTCTCTCTCTCTCTCTCTCTCTCTTTCTCTCTAATAGATTTAATTGTGAATGATTGGAAGGAAGGAACAGAGCAGTACTATTTATTAGGTGCATAATAGTTCCTTGATACTATTATTAAGAAAGGAATTTGAAATATTTTGACAATTTAAAAGTGGTTATTTAGAAGTTAAAAGTTTGCTATACTGTATGCATTATAGCTAGCAATGCTGTAAGGTACAATTAAAACTTAAGGGGATACATTTCATGTTACATGCTTTATAGCACGCTTTAGACTTTAAGTTTTCATTGCTTTGGGTTTTCTCCCCCCCAACAGTTGGATAGGCATCTTCGTAAGAAAGCTGGATTGACGGTTGTTCCCTTGCACAATGCCTTGAGAAATTCTGAATACCAAAGGCAGTTTGTTTGGAAGATCTGTAAAGAGACTGACCCCGTGTTTGCAGCCAATAAGGTAGTTTAACAGCTGTGATATGTTTCTGAGTGCTCTAACCTGATTTAGTAACACAGACTTATGTGGAGCTAAGAGCTGAGAGAAAGTTGGAACTGACCTAGGCCTGTTCTAGGTTCTGGGAGACAGATGAGAGTTTTGCTGGACTCTTACTCTCCCTTGTGGTTTACATAATAATATCATATAATATTTATGTAATAAACTGTTCTGGGCTACTAATGATCCACTAAGCCGGAGGCAGGACAACGAAAACGTTGGGGAGTAGCAAGTGTTCACATGCCAAAATATCTTTTTATTTTTTTAAATCATTAAATTGAATATATTTCATTTGACTGTTTCTGTGTGATATGTAGTTTTTAAGAAAGATAACTGCTTTGGATAGTTAATAAATGCAAAGTTGGTTGACAGTAGCACTCGATGTAATTGTTCCTTTGAATCAGCTGAACAGTGACAGCAATCGAATTGAGCTGTATTTGTCATTATCTTTAGATTAGATTAGATTTATTATATCTTTTACAACTTTAGTATTTTACTGACTTGCTAGTAAACATTCTGCTAACTGCTGCTGTCTTCCGGAGAAGTCTTAGCTTCTGATTTCCTACTATGTTGTTAACTTTCAGCTCCATGTGGAGTAGCTCCAGAAGTCCATGACAGCTTTGTCTTTTGTTCTGATCGTTGTGCTTTTCTTTCTAAGTCTCTGTACTTTACCTGCCTCGATTCATTTGCCTGCATTTTAGTGCTCGTTGTGTACCCCGTACCTAAACACTAAGAGGATAGACAGAGCAGGGCAGTAACATCTGCACTCTCCCACGGACATCTGCACTCCAGGGGCAGCTTTCTTTAGTTGTATGTTTTGGGATCATATGAAGTATAACACAAAGGGATGTGTTCTCTTTTTAGGACCTAATACATAGGATCAGGGTTTCCTCTGCTTGCTTGCTTGAACTTTTCTTAGATAGTAAGTGTTCTTAAAAAATATCTGTGAGTTGAAAATTGTTTCCTTTTTGTAGAAAATTTGGCCTATGAGCTAGAGCTGACTCATCAAAGATTTCTTCATAGATTTTACATGCCAATGAAAGCATTTTTCAGAAATGTGTTTTTATAGGATCAGAAGTATAATGTAAAATAAACCACCCACAGTGTCTTCATTAGTGATGCCATTGCTTTCATTAGCGAGGATTTCAAAGTGCTTCTGTGGGAAGCAAATGCTCTTTCTAAGTTCAAAGCACATTGGCTTTGAGCTCTGGAGGAGCTCACTGATAAGCTTTCAGTCCCTCTAGGGAGTCATCTGCTTTCAGTCAGGTGCGTCTCTTAATAAGGTTGTCATATTAATATTGAAAGGAGTTGGACTAGTTTGACTGAAAAGCCCTGAGGTTGTGTTGTGCTGACAGCTGTGTTTGGATTGGGTCTCCATAAAGCAGTAGTGGTGTGTGTCTCACCTGGCACCCTCCCGGTATTCACTGTCATGGGTGGTAATATACCAGCACATGGAAACCATATTGAATATTGTGGATGAAAGAAAACATTTAAAAGCAATATAGTAATTCTTGAATGTTCTCTCTTGTCTTCATGAAAAGGCTAAATCTAAGCAAAGGGCAAAAAAAAAAATCCCAGATTGAACAAGTCAGGTACCAGTTTATGCTCTTTTGGAAAAAGTGGAGTTTTGACAAAGAGAAACATCATTTGGAGAGCTGACAAAAGTTACCTTAATCTAATGTCTGTTCATATTATGAAAATTTGCTTATTTCATTATCTCACTACAACTGATGGAAGGAAGCAGGGAAATCTGGGAAGGGAAAAATCAGACGAGTATAGTTTATTATTTTTGCTTAAATAACATTTTGATTGTAATTTGACTATTCAAGGCATAGTAACAAGTATAGAAATTTGACCTTTGGCTACTAATGACACATGTGAAATGGAGTTGCAGTCATATATAATTTTGCCTTTTTCTGTACTATAATTTAATTTGTTGTTTTTAGAGCAATTAAACACCTGAGTTCTGTGTCACCAAGTCATTAACTGAACTGAACTTTTTCTTTTGTTGTTTTAAGGTTTTCCGTAATAAGAGCCAAATTGTTCCACACTTCAAAGGCAATGCAGTTGTCCATGAGACTGAATATAAGCGGAATTTCAAGGGTTTATCTCCAATGAAGGAACCAAAGTTAAGAGAGGCTTTGAAAGGAAACAGTGATCTTGAGGCATTGTCTCCAGAGAAGAAGGTATCTGCTAACTCCTAACCTAGTAAAGGTTTCACACACCTCACAGTCTATCCTGTTACCACCCAAGTTCCATTTCTTTTGCTAGCATTAACTCATTTGTCCATTAAATGCCATATTTTCCTTGACTACTTGAGTGAAGCCAGGTCCTGTATAGGTACTGAGAGTACAGCATGCAGACACAGCAAGCTCAGCGGCACTTAGGCTGCTGGGAGAAAGATACACAAGTAACTAAAGTGACCAAACTTAGCAGTGCAGCAGGTAAGTCTTCCATGTCTGATGTCAAAGGATTGACCTTGCAGTGACATGAGCTTCAGGGCAGCAGGAATGATGGGAACTTGTATTTTACAGTAGTAGCTATTAGATGTAACACATTTAAGACAAACTTTTTATTATGCTAAAATATAGTTAGTATAATTCATATCATTTACTGCAGTGAATATAAACACCTGGGCTTGTGTTTGAGCTTACAGGTATTCTAAGTTATGGCATCAGGATAAAATCATTGCAGATTATAGGAAAATGAAATATAAAATAGGTTTTTAATCTTCTGTAGTAATGTTATCCAATACTTTGTGATTTTTTAAAAGTAGAAATATCTGATTAAAATAACCTGTGTATGTGTGTGTGGATACAATGCTTATACACATGCACACCAGTATGCACACGTGTACTTATGCACATGCATGCACATGCGCGTGCACACACACACACACACACACATGCATGTGCACACAGTACACACACATATTTTCTTTTGACCTATGACATTTTGGGGGTTGGAAAATGTTACTCTGTAAAGCACCATGGTAACTTAATTAGTAAAACTTCAATTACTATAACACTTGAATGTAAATTTAAGGACTAATTCAAAATCTCTGTTCAATGTGTAGTAGTATTGTTTGCTTAATATTTAGATGGCATTTGTTAACCTTTAAGTTAAAAGCAAAACAATGAAACACTAGTCATGGCTCTAAACTCAGTTGGTTTTAAAACTTGTTGACTTTTCTTGTTTTCTTTAGTAGCTAAAACATCTAAGAGCAAAAATGTAATAGGCTCTCCAAGCCTAGCTTTCTAACATCTATGTTTTTACTTTAATGTCTGACATCTCTAAGCATAAAAGCTCAAATTATTTCCATTTCAATATAACAAGGCAGACGAGCCTTTAGAGTTAGAAGTAGACATGGCATCAGAAGACTCAGACCAGCCTAAAAAGAAGCTTGCTCCGTGGAGACACCAAAGGCTTGGGTATGTATTTTATAAGGAGATGGTCATTGTTGGGTGGTCACCTTGCTAAAATACTTACTTCCATTCTGTCTCTCTTAGCAAGGTGAATTCTGAATATAGAGCAAAATTTCTGAGCCCAGCCCAGTATTTATATAAAGCTGGAGCTTGGACATGCATGAAGGAGAACATGCCAAACCAGGTGAGTCTGTGATTTCTCATTTTCTTCTTCCAGCCTATCCAACAGTTTTACAGTTAGTTTCATTCACAATTTAAAGATGAATGGTATGATAACAGCCCTCCAAATTCCACCATCTTAAAATTGTAGGTATTGATTGACAGCTTACTAGCATGTTCACTCTTTATACCAATGGCTTCCTTAGAGATTGATATTTATTATCAGTCATTTTTTTACCATCAAATATCTGATAGCTTTAATCAGTTCAGTTTACATTAATTGATTTGTTTCTCATGACATTCAGACTTCCAGTCTCTCAACTGAAGGTCATTGTCCAATCAGTAATGTATCTGATAGTAAGACTGCTGACAGTTTGCACTATTGTAGCATGTAGGAAAGGGGGTGCAGCCTGAGCTCACTCAGTTTCAAGTTCTTCTCTCGGTATCCTGACACATAGCAGGGACTGGGATCTAAAGACAGGCCGGAGAAAAGGGCAGTTATTTCCTAGGGTTGAGAAGTGCAGCTTCTAGGATAAATAGTGGAATATTTAGATTAAATAATTAGGATCTTAAAAATGTATCCTGACAGTTTTCAGCCTTTGCCAAATGCACAAGTTGGTTGGATTATATAATAATAGGCATTCTTTTCCATTCACCTTTTCAAAGAGGATCCGTAGGATGGGGACTGTTTGTTTAGCTCAGTGCTGAAGATCATGGCTGGCAATTGTGTCTTCAGTTTCTGGGGTCAGGTTGTTGGCCCCTTTGGGCTGCTGGTTTTTTGAGGTGGCCCCTCCCAGACAAATGTGCTGTCATTCCTGCCTCAGCACTCTGTTTCAGGAGGGTTCTAGAATTTTTTTCTATTCTCAGTACTGTCTATCTGAGCCTCGCTCAGGCTACGTGGGACAGAAGAGCCAGAGTGCCAACTCCCGTTCCATCTGGACCATTTGTTTGTTTGTTTTGGTTAATCAAAAAGCTTGAGTGTCAAAAAAACAGTGAAGGATGGACACCCTCTTGCCCATGGAACATCTGACTTTGAGAGATGTTGGCCTCTTCAATTTTCATCTTAGATTGGGATTATAGACATTTAAATGTAAAGCTGAAGTGTTAGCACTGGCATTATTAGGAAGAATGGCTAATGAGAGCCTTGAATTTCCTATATCATCAGTAAATAGAATTTCCATAAAGTGTCTACTCTCCATCCTTTCCAAATAAGTGGTATCAGAAGTGGATCACTATGCAGAGAACTCTTCATCCCCCTCTTATGCATGAAGCAGCATGGAGCTTCCATGTGAATAGAATGTAGCCTCCTTGGCTGTCCTTCCCATTGCTCAACTTTCAAGGCTGTGCTGATCAGAGCCCCCTTTGAACCTGTCCTTCAGTTTATACTTGTTTATTGGGGTGCAGATTGTGCCAGTGTTAGGGTGCTCATGGAGATACAGGCCTGCTTCCTTGGTCATTGTGAGCGTGTTGAGTCTGGGGGTTTCTTGGCTCTGGTCTCTCTCTACTTCCTCTGCTCCCCCCACACACTGGACAGCTGCAGAATTCCTGCCTCGGCGCTGCATTGCCCCTCTCTGCCTCAGGCTCACAGGTTCATGGAGAGAGACGCTGAGGACACAGAGGAAGTGATCCTAAGGCTTGAAGATGCTATGTAGGCAATGAAACATTTGATATGAGGGTACTTACATCAGGCACCTCATAACATGTGTCCTAGTCATTCAGAATGCCCCGCGAATTGCTCAGCACATTTAAACCATACATCTTAGTTCTGCCATTGATGCAAACACTGTTACTGCCGATTTCCCTTGAAGTATAGGAGACAGAGCTGATACATGGGCATAGCTCATTTGGCAGTGAAGACAAATAGGATTTCAAGTTTGTCTGCGTAAGAGCAGTCTTCTGGGATTGTGTGGTCTCTTTTGCTATGGTAAGTGCTCTCTTTGTGATGGCTCTTTCCCAGATGTGCGATACTCTCCTTGTTACCAGCTGTCTTCTAAGGAGCTGGGTAGTTTCCCCCGTTGCTTTTGCATCACAGGTTTCACTGTTTGCTTTTCTCTTTTGCTTTTAAGTGAAATCAGCAGTTCTAGTGCATGGTACTCCAGTAGTACAAGAATCTTATTTTTGTGGTATAAATGAACAAATTGTAAGACTGAAGAGATGGCTCAGCAGGGGAAGGGCTTGCTGCCAGCCCTGACAGCCTGAGTGTGGTTCTGGGGTCCCGATGATAGAGAGAGCTGACTCCCTAAGGTCAGTTGTCCTCTGACCTACACGCACAGAGTCTCTCTCTCTCTCTCTCTCTCTCTCTCTCTCTCTCTCTCTCTCTCTCTCTCTCTCTCTCTCTCTCTCTCCCTCCCTCCCTCCCTCTCTCTCTCTCTCTCTCTCTCTCCCTCCCTCTCTCTCTCTCTCTCTCTCTCTCTCTCCTTTCTCTTTCCTCTCTCTGTCTCTCCCTCCGTCTATCCCTCCCTCCCTCCCTCCCTCCCTCCCTCCCTCTTCCTCCTCCTCCTCCTCCTTCTCCTCCTCCTGCTGCTAAAGAATAAGGCAGTGATGATAATGTATAAAGCAGTTTTTCTTCCCATGAAGGTTAAAAGATGACACTATTAACAGTCATGCACAAAATAAATTGTCAAGGGATAAAGGATGTTACAGAAATATGGGAAGTATAGAATTATTAGTGGTAATAAAAGTTGTCAATTATAATAAACAAGATTTTAAAGCTGAATTTTAATGATTCAACTTTTTGTGTTGTGGTTTCTACACTGTACATTAGCATTTAGAGAGGCCAGCAGGTGGCAGCATTTAGAGAGGCCAGCAGGTGGCAGTGTGATGTGTAGAATAAAAGGGCTTAAATGGGTAGTTGGGTTCCTTTTAGCAGGAAAGTACGTTATTTGCAGAATAGGGAATGCCAAGGATTCTATATGTCATCATATTGCTTTAAAAATATCTTGTTATCTTGCTGAATATGCAACCGTTGTATTTAGGGATTTCTATTCAATTCTATATTTAGTTAGTACTTTTTTTGAAGTTGAGGTTTTGCTGACTCCAAGGGAACCTGAGGGAATCTCTCAACTTTCAGTGATCCTCTGTCATAGAAGCAGCTGTGTACAAAGCTTCGGGGTAAGCCAGACTGGGAGTTACTGACATGTAAGCACTCTGGGGGTGGGGGTGGGGGGTGGAGGAGGAGAGCTAGGAATAGCAATCAATTACCTGTTACAACACCATCACAGCCAAGCACGAATGTGGTTGGTCTTTGATACAGTATTAAGATGTCTTTGTTACTGAGTTAAAAGTTACTAAGGATACAAGAAATATTGATTGACAAATTTATATATATTTAGAAGGAGGAAAAATAAGGTACAGCATCTCATTGATTCCCATTAACAATCATTTATGGCATTAATCTGTCATTAAGTTATGTCTCTGTATTCCTCCCCTAGGGTTCTCTAAATGCCATGTGGTATGCAGAGGTTGGTTGCTTTTGAGTTCTTAAAAACTATAATAATTCATAGAATACTTGTATAATTTCATTGCATAAGAAGTCTGTTCAGTATTTTTCTTAACTGCCACAAATGCCCCCTTGCCTATTAGGCTGACGTAAAGTAACTGCATTGTGCTTAACTGTCTTAACTTCTGCTTAAATGCATAGTCTGATGTGTGTATGTGGCTGTTGTTTTTGCCTTTCTTTCTCATTGGACTTGGGCTGTATTAGTGCATTGGCTTTGATATGTCCTTGTAGGTATTTGTAAAGGAGCGTTGACAACACCAGATGTCATCTGTACTCTTTGGTGTAGGTTAAGGAGCTCAGAGAGAAGGCTCAATCTTACAGGAAGAGAGTCCAGGGAACACACTTCTCTCGGGACCATCTGAACCAGATCCTGTCAGATAGCAACTGCTGCTGGGATGTCTCCTCAACCACTAGCTCAGAAGGGGCTGTCAGCAGCAACATCCGAGCACTGGATCTTGCCAGGTGAGGTGTTCTTTGTGGATGTCGAGAAGAATGTGTCGTAGCTTATGTGCATCATAGAATGACATAGGAAAAGTGACCTTACTACCTACAATCTGCTTATTATTGAAAGCTTACTCTCTGTGACAAATATTGCTATATTTGTTCTTTATGTTTCTGTATAAATAATACATAATTAGGGAAGGCTAAATTTTGCAATATTCTTTGTTGCAACCACAAAACTAGAATGACTATAGGGTAGATGTAAAAAGTCTTTAAGAAGTTTTAAAAAAACAACCATAAAAATTCCTAAGAGTATAAGCTCATGTTATATAACCATGTCATTCATTAATACATTTTAGTGACTAATTTGGAACCTGGCTTCTAGTTGTAGAGAATTCTCTGCTGTTTTGAATTTTAAAGTGAATACAATTTAACTGTTTGTAAGAGAAATTACACATTGATGTGTAGCAAATACAAGTTTTTACATTAAAGCATACAAATGTAGTCTCATATACCAAATTCATCTATAAATTCTATTGTGTGTCCCTGCTTTAAAAATTCAGAAAATACTGTCTTTAATAATGTTTTAGAAAGATGAATCTAAAATATAAAAATTTGAATCTGCATACTTGCTCACATGTATAATTGGGTTTGTGGGAGGTTATGAATTTAGTTATGACAAATTAGCCAAATTGGGGTATTAGTCTTCTTCATTTTGAGGGTAAATAATTAATGGCTTTTGTCATCAGAAGTGCAAGCATGTATGTGTGACAGTAGGTAAACATATTACTTTTTGGAATATTTTAGTGGAGATGTAGACATAACTTTCACTTACTCTATTCTACACTAACTTCAATACCTAGAACAAGGCCATCCATGTGGAAAACTGTGGCACCTGTGTCATGAGCAAGTCTAATGTATAGGGTGAAAGCCTGGATATTTAAATGAAAGACAAGATGTCTGGCCATTTGTGCTAAGAGTTTATGTATGTGTGTGTGTCTGTGTGTTTATTGCAAGGAGGGGGCAGTCTTATATACAGACTTACAGCACAGTGGAGAAACCCCAGGTGTAAGAGTTCCGGTTTTCATAATTAAAGGTTGATGCCAGTGGGGCAAGGCCAAGGCTGTAAGCCAAGACTAGAAAACAGGATGCCCCTGTGGTTATTGACTGACAAACAACTCACAGAGACCCTGTCAGGGCTGGGGCCCAACATCTCCCTCTTCTTTATATATAAATTAGCGCCTGTCTTAGGTGACTAGGATGTTAACACCAACTTTACCCGACAATGGAGAAATCACTCAGGCTGCATGACCCTCCTGTCTTAGGTTGGCTGGCATCCCCTTAGTCTCTCATCTGTCATTGGCTGCCTAACTTTTTTGTAGACTCAACCGTAATCAAGCTGAGGGATTCTCTGTGGTCCTTGAGTGACAACTTGAGCCTGGCTTGTCTGGTGCTTGTCAAGCATATGATAATAAGTCTTATGGCTACAAGGCCCGGAGATAGGAACCCAGCCCATTCTTTGATTAAATGGCCTGCCATCTATCCTTTTTTTTTCCTTTAAAAAGAGATTGACTGTGATCATTACTATTTATAACCAACCCCATTTAAATGAAAACAAACATTTACAGACAGTATTTGTGAATGTGGGCATCCTTCTCTCCAAACTGCTTCCTGCTGTTTGGGGGTGCTGACATACCATGGGTATCCTAATAAAATCCAGAAATCTTGCCTGTAGTGGTCAGCAAGGCTGCCATGTCCCAGCTGTTTTGAATGTTGGATCACCTGGGCCATTGGTGGTCTTGTTTTATCAAACCATATTAGTCTGGAAGGAGTCCACAGCTTTTCATTTTCTGTGGAAACAAAAAGAAAGCTTCTTTTCCAAAGTAACCTGTCCTTAGACTTAAATTGTGAAGTCAAAGCAGTTTTAAAATGTGTAAGTTGGATTAATTCAGCAGCATTGATAATCAAGTGTATTTTAGCAGCTATTGCTCCTTCCTCAGCAGTCAAACAATTCAAAGACAACACATCTTTACATGGCTTATTTATTATTAGTACTCTATTTTGCTTTTTCTTTCACTTAATACCAGTACCTTGTTTAACAATTCTACTCTCTGTTCTATCAATAGAGTAAGTTGAGGTACCCATTTTCAATTCACCCTCATAAATTCTTACTTGCTGACCAGCCTCTGAGGGCAGTCTCTCAGGGTGGTCTTTCTTTCCCGATCTCGGTGGAGCCTCCATTTGTGGTGCCTACTTCAGGAGCAAGTCTATTGGGCAAAAGCCTGGATATTTAAATGAAAGACAAGACCACCATTTGTGCTGAGAATATGTGTGTGTGTGTGTGTGTGTGTGTGTGTGTGTGTGTGTGTGTGTGTATTGCAAGGAGGGAGCAGCCTTATATACAGACTTACAGCACAGTGGAGAAACCCCAGGTTGTAAGAGTCCGTGTTTTCATAATTAGAGGTTTGTGCCAGTGGGGCAAGGCCAGGGCTGTAATCCAGGACTAGAAAACAGGATGCCCCTGTGGTTATTGGCTGACAAGCAACTCACAGAGACCCCATGGGGGCAGGGATCTAACAGAAAACAATGGAAGCAAATTGATGAGCTCACTAAACTAGTATAAACCAAAACACTCTAATGCAGATGTACAATAAAACCTTCTTTGTTATGCAGTGATCCTATAAGCCACAAGACTCCCCAGAAACATCCTCCTGCCAAACTAGAAGAAGAAAAAGTTGCCCTGGGAGAGAAGCTCCTGAAAAATACCACCAGGGAACTGGCCCTGCCAGAGGCGGACACCATTTCTGTTAGGAGGAAGCTGGCTTGGGATGCGGAGGGCAGCAATGAAGACATGCAGGAGCAGCCCCGGGGAGATGGGGACCAGGAAAGGGGAGAAGACAAGCAGATCTGTGTGGGCGAGCTCGAGAAACTGGACACACAGGACAAGTTTAAGACAGACAGAGTGAAAGAAGGGTGAGACTCAAACTTCTCAGTACACGACTAATGTGTATTTGCATTGTCACTAGGTATAGGGGTTTGCACCCGCAGCCTTATGACTAATACAGAACAGGATTTTGCTTTTAACGCAGTGAAGTAGGCACTGCCACATGGTATGTGCTCTGCTTTGACTTCTGCAACCTCTTGAGTCACCACTGGTGCTGCTGGAACACTGAGGGGGACATAGATTGTTCTTACTGATATCCTGTTGGGGAGGACTTACCAGATGTGTAATGTGTCTGGAAGAATGGCTTCATGAGGCAAACCGGCATTCGCTAATACCTGATGGTTTTGTCAAGCAGAGGCTGCCCTTTTGTAGTATTTTGAAAGTGGCTTCTGGAAAGAGCTCCTAACAGTGGTTGTATGGATAGACAGCTTTACAGCTTTGGGGAGCTCTTCCCTCTTGCTGACCATACATCTTGGCTGTATTTAAACCCTTTGTTCATTCATGGGTGTTGCAGCTAATGTGGAACTTGGTGCTAACTAAATGGAAGACTTAGCTATGGATTGCTGATTTACAGTGATTGTCCCTCCTTTATGGTCCTCAGTTCCCTTTAACTACAAATGGATTAAGACTTTTTAAAAGGATTGTTTTTAAGGCAGGGACTTCCCTGAATACTCTAGGCTGGCTTGGAACTCATGACTCTTTTGTGCCATCCTCCTAAACACTAGGATTATAGGCAGGTGTCATCGCAGGCTCCCTACATAGGAATCTTTTTTTTTTTTTCAAAAGCAATGTTGACTTCTCTTAGACAATTTATGCTTTATACTACACTACATAGTGGTGATGATGTAGTTTTTGTTGTTTTTTTGTTTTTCAAGACGGGGTTTCCTGGAACTCACTCTGTAGACCAGGCTAGCCTCTAACTCACAGAGATTTGCCTGCCTCTGTCTCTGGAGTGCTGGAATTAAAGGCGTGCAACACCAATGCCCGGCGATGATGTAGTTTTGATCATATTTTTTGGAATAGAGGCTTCCTAATAGATTTTTTGACTTTTTAGGTCCGAGTCCTTTTCTGTTTCCTCAGAAAAGGGGGGAAGGCTTCCTACTCCGAAGCTGAGAGAACTTGGCATCCAGAGGACTCACCACGATCTCACGACTCCAGCTGTCGGTAATAGTCAAACCCTGTCATCCATAGTCTGCCCGTTTAGACTGTAACTTAGTGTGATTGACATGTGGTTTCCATGGGATTTTCCAGGTGGGGCAGTTTTAGTGTCGCCATCTAAAGTGAAGCCTTCAGCCCCAGAGCAGAGGAAGAGAGCATCCTCCCAGGATGGCTTAGACACTCTGAAGAAGGACCTTCCAAAGGTAGACATTGTGTTTCAGAGGAAAGCCTTTTGTGGGGTTGCATGATCTCCTGTAATAAATGGTATGTAGGCTGAGACCTTAGGAAATCCTGCCTACTGTACGTAGAAATATTACTGCTAATCTTTTGGTAACATAAGGCAAAGGCCCGGAATTTATTGACTTATTTATTTGCTCTTGACATTGTATTGCTATTGATAGCTTTCACATATCTTTGGGAAGGAAAGAAGAAAAACACAATCTGTTGTCTGGTAGTTCTGTACCAACCATGTTGTAGGCACTGTTTAGCATTGGAGATAAAACTAGACAAAAGTCCAGGGCTCATTGGGCTTACTGTCCAGTGGAGGGCGGGGCACCAATCTCAATAGCGAGGGTACAACACACAGATAGGTGTTAGCGCTAAGGAGGACAGAGGCAGGGGAATGAGTAGGAAGTGGTCCAGGAATTCTTCACTGACAGGGTGGTGTTGAAGCAGACCCTGAAGAAGGTGGAGGACCAATCTGACAGGCCTATCTGAGAAGATGTCAAAGAGAACAGAAATGAAAAGTCTCTGAGGTGAGAGGACACCTGATTCATTAAGTACCTGTGCTCTTGTGACTGGAGCAGAGAATAGCCTGGGTAATGTGTTTTGAGACAGAATGATATATGCTAAGATGTGTAGGGCTTTGTAGGTCATAGGAAAGGCACACATGTTATTTTCTGTGAGATATGAGATAGGAAGTGTAGGAAGGGCAGAGGAGTGGCGTGATCTGACTTAGACTGTCCCAGAGTCACTGCAGCCATTGTATTGACAATGGACGGGGACTGAACACAGGTGAAAGCAGTCGGTCACTAGACCCAGGAAGACATGATGGTGACTTGGATTGTGGTGGTAGGTGGTGAAGGCCATTCAAGGACATCCAGTTGTGGATGTCCACTGAAGATGTGTGTGCTAAGAGTTGCTGAAAGTTTGGATATGGTGTGGGAGGGAGAGAAGAATCAGAAGCAAGAGGAATGGAGTTGCTTTTTAAACCGAGATAGGAAAGATGGATAGGAAAAGATCTGTCAGAAAATAGCAGGCGTTCTCTTTAGGACATTTTAGATTTGAGAAGTTTATGAGCTGTATATATAGTATGCCTGTGTATACGTTATGTATAATGCATATACATTATATATATATATATGTACATATGTATTTAAAGACTCAGGTGATGGAGAGAATAGGTATTGAGAGAGAAGAGTAGGTGTAGACGTGTCTGAGCCCCAGGACTTTGATATTACAAAGTTGAGAAGTCACCCAAAACCAAAACAAACCAAAAAATACAAAAACAACCAGTGAGACAGTGATAGTCAACAGTGTCCTGGAGGTAATGGAACATCACAAGGCCTGGGGCTGCCAATGAGTGAATGTGTATTCTGGCCTGGAGAGATGGCTCAGTGACTCAGCGTGCTGGCTGCTCTTCCAGAGGACCTGAATTTGGTTCCCAGCACCACATGGCCCCAACCACAAAGCTCACCCATCTCTTGTAGTTTAATTTGAAACACTTCTTCCTACCGGCACAGACCGTGCAAGGATCATGTAGCACCAACTAGCAAAGATAGTAGCTGAGACTTTCCCATTGTCTCACAAGGGTGGGAAGCCACTAAACTATTTAGGTAGGCACTCTGCCACTGAGGAACATACTCTGCCTTGAAATAGTTTAAGTGTGATTTATGTATGTCTATAGTGGAAGCAAGAGTTGACTGTGACTTCCTGAAAGGGACAATGTCCAGTCCAGAAAGGAGACATTGGTATCATGGGGCATTTGGGGGGTGCATAGGTAGAAGTGTGTGACCCTGGAGGACTGTAAGGGAAGCTGTGTCATGCCTTGGTGCTGGGCTGGATAGTGTAGAGAGGAAAACTGAGTGGCTTATGGTTTTCTGTCATTCCAGTAGGGTTGAGGGGTTGGTAGGTAATGAATTAAAACTCATAGGCTTGTTTTGGAGAGGAATTCCTGTGTGCCAGGCACTGTCCTAACATCTGGGGACACAGCTTTGTGACTTTGTGGAACTTCCCTTTTCACTGGGAGAAATAGACCAAGGATCTTTTAAGGAGAGCTGTGAATTAATCGTCAGGTGACCTCCAAGGGATGGGTGAGGCTTAGTGACTGGGGCCATGTGGAAGGTGACACTTGAGTCAGAACTGACTAAGAAGGGAGGCACTGTGGCAGAGAAACTGGCAGGGTGTTCCCAAGCAGAACAGAAAGCACCACATTGTTCTCTCCCGGGGCGGGGCTGTTCATTTTATTTTGTCTTAATCTACATTTCTAATTACAAATAAAATAGCATAATCATGTGTTCTGTCTGACATTTTCACACACATGCTCTGCATTTTTATCATATTTGCTTCTCATTACTTCTCTTGTTCACCTCACACTCCCACTAATCCCCTTTCTCCCATCCAGTCCTCCTCCTAGGCTCTCCTTCCTTCTCCCTCCTTCCCTCCTTCTCTATCCCTCCTTCTCTCTCCTTCCTTCTCTCTCTTTCCCTCCTTCTCCCTCCTTCCCTCCCTTTTACCCCTGGCCCTGTTGTTCTTGTTTTCATTTTTGGTGTGATCTCCAGTGTGTTAGGGTTTCTTACAGAATCCAGAGTGAGTAGTTATTTACAACCTACCACTAGTCATACTACTTAAGAAAAAAGTCTCTCCCTTCCCAGAGACCATAACTGCCCAAAGGTCTCAAGGAGGGACGAGCCCGCATCCCCATAGAAACCATTATGTACCTATAGGTCCCCAAGGAAGAGTGCTGAGTTTTAAAGTGTGTGTGTGTGTGTGTGTGTGTGTGTGTGTGTGCTGGAAAGGTGTGGGTAGGGTGAGGAGTCTGGAGTTTGGATGTTATCCTAAAGGCATTGGGGAGTGACTCAGGGTAAATCCAGTCACTAGCTGCTGTGTGGATCTGCTACCTGCAAGGAAACGGGGAATAGTGGACCAATAAAGAGACTTGAGGCTCAAGGCTCAAAACCAGGTCAGTTTCAGTAAGCCCAGGAATCCCTTCCGTTAAGACAGTCCGTAGGTTTCAGTCAGCTCTTTCTAGCAGCAGTAAAACCAAGATGGCAGAGCTTCTAAGCTATGTAGGAAGAAAAGACTTCTTTAGTGTGACTTGTAGTTCACTGAGTGTACAGGAGAAAGGGAGGCAATGGGAGATTTGCCTTCTCTTACTGGAACTTAAGTTCTCTTGGGAGAAAGCCATCAGCTCTTCATGAAGTCACAGAAAATGATACCTCAGATTGGAAACTGCATAAAAGTCACATCTATGGGTCAAATGAGGGGACGAGGAGAGTTCAGGGGATGACCAGGACTGTGGTGTCTGTGTTTGCAATCTGTGGAACTCTTAGGATTAAGCTGCACTGTCACTGTGGAAATCTGAAGATGCTAATGAAGAAGAAAAGGACTGCTCTCATGCCTGCTTTCTGCTGAGGACCAGGGTTAAGTTCTAAGGTATTTAGTTAGGGTGTATAAATAATTGGTATCCTACAGGCAAGGGACATAATCTACTTTTTTGTTTTTTTTCTATGCTAGTTTTATTTCAGATTGTATACATCTTTTTCTGATTAATATTTTTTCTTAGGTGTATTGTGAACGTATTTTTGCATCATTAGGCATTCTTATTTTCATGGCAACATGGATGCTCTCTATAATTAAAAATTTTAAGACCAGATACTACTGTTTAAATATGTTTCAGATGTATGTCATTTCGTTTTTTTATTTAAAAAGTAATATAGAGAAATCCATGTCTCAGCTACATTTTGGTTTATATCTGTATTCTCTCATGTTATTGTTTCCCAAGTACTAATAAGCATTAAAGTAGATACAATTCTAAAGTTTATGTTGTGTCTTGCTGGGTTTTTAGAGCAAGTGACCTTCAGTAAGTCTGTAGGTTCCTGTTTTTCTTTATCTGTGTTACCTCTGTAATATTATATTTAATTTGATTTTTACAATTTGGTAAGTGAACTGTTCACTTCAATGCTTTCATTTTGTGATTAAAAGATCTAGTGAGGTAGAATGTTACTGTACTCACATGTGTCTGAATGATATGTGTGTGAATATGATAGTTGATGCTTGGCGTATGCCTTCTGCTTCATAATTCTAGTGAGGCAGAGTGTTCATCTGAATGACTGACTTATGCTTCCCTCTGCTTGGTAATGAGACTTGCTTCTTCCTGCTTCTGAGCAGATAGTTCTGTAGCATGGTGACAATTGCCCTGTCTTCCCAGGTTTGTTCTTCCAGTGCATTTTTAATGCACATTTTGTGGCTGTATCAGCAGGTCTGTTTCTCTGTGTGGGTGGCTATGCGCGTAGTCTCCTCTCCATGGACACTGTCACCCCCCCCCCCCGTGTCTTCTGTGACTTGTGTTTGTCTGCATTTGAATGCTCGTTCCTTTCTTTACTTTTGCACACCCATATGCATCTTTTCTCTTTTTTTGTCATCTAGAAAGGAAACCACCGTCCTGTGTCTCTCCTGACTTCTCCTGCTGCCGGCATCAAGACAGTCGATCCCCTGCCTTTGCGGGAAGATTGTGAAGCCAATGTCTTCAAATTTGCTGAGGGTACTGTTCCAGTTTCGAAAGTTCTGAAACATCAGACAAATACCCCTGGACAGTCTTCTACTCCTTACTGGCATCCTTCCAGCAGGATCCAAGGCCGTCTGCGGGACCCTGAATTTCAGCACAATGGTGAGTATTTTGGTTTTAATTTCTTGTTTTCTTAAAATAAGAGTGATATGGAAAAGTGCTATAAGGAGGACCGCATACTGACAAAATTCTATTGTGTAGGTGGTTTTCCTTTTTTCAGTAATGTATAATGGATCCCCTTTTCCCGCCTTCCCTCCTCCATTCCTCCCTGCCGCTTTCCCCTCCTTTTTCCTTCCTTATTTTTTCTTTCCTTTCAGCCGGGTCTCCCAGGCTAGTGGATTTCTGTGAACAGGCAGATCTCTTTTGTGGCTACTGGGCTGAGCTGCTGTTCCCAGCTTCACTTTCCCTTTTAAAAAGTGAAAGGTGTCTCTCATGTTCTTGCCAAGGCTCATATAGAGACCAGATAGATGCCAATAGCACTTCTTTTTCAGGCAGGAAAACAAAAATGGTCTCTAGACATTGTCTAGTGGTACTCGGATGTGGAATTCAAGATCTTGTTTTCCTGGGGTTTTGTTAGACATGGCTCCGCTGTTTGCCTTCCTCTGTCACAGTTGGGACTTCTGAAGTTGTCATCCTGGGGATGTTGTGTATGGTATTTGCTTTCTGGTGGCTTTGGGATTGTCTGTTCATACCCAGTGCTACTGATGCATTATAACGATGCATCTTGAAGTGGGTAACCTGGTACCCTGTAGACCTTTCAGCCTGGTCAGTTCTTCTAGGAAGTTTTCCAAGATAGTGATTTCTTCCCTTTTCCTGTGGCTCTGTGGCCCCTCTTCTTTAGATATAGGGCATATGGCCACAGTAGCGCTAATGATTAGGGCATATGGCCACAGTAGCGCTGATAAACCTTTAGAGACAGGTCTTTAGTCCACTCTAGGGAGATGCAGTAATCCAGCTGTTAAGTTTAAAGAAGTTCATGGTTTGTGATCTAGCTGTTGCATACAAAGATTTTCAGAGTGTTGTCCTGCCCGCCTTCTCCCAAACCCCACATCACCCAGGGACGGGCGAACAGACAGACAGACAGACGCATACACACACACAGCTACTGCTTCTTAGTACTCTGCCCACTTAAGACTTCTGCCTCCTCCTTTCTTTCCATTCTCCTAACTTGGTTGCTGTTTTCTTGTCTTTCATTTTCTTTTTTTTCTGTGGGCTTCTGCTCTCCCTAAATGTGTATATTGAGTTTGTCTGTCTCAATAGAGACTTCCTCTGTTTCTTTGAAGTTTCATCAATATTATCATGGAGAAGAATTTTAGGAGCTTATTCACAGTGTATGCACTTGCTAAATACATTAAAGTCATCCAGTGGCCCTTTGATGCAGTGGTTTCTATCAGTATACAAAATTAATAAGTATGGCCTTGGAACAGTGGGTCTCATCCTGTGGGCCAAGGGGTCACATATCAGATATCCTGCATATCAGATATTTACATTACAATTCATAACTGCAGAATTGTAGTTATGAAGTAGTGAAGTGATTTTATGGTTGGGGGCGTCAGTGCAACGTGAGGAGCCGTATTGAGGGGCTGCAGTGTCGAGAAGGTTGAGAACAACGGCTGGGGAAGCTGGGAAGTGCATGATGGAAGGCTAGCATCTAGTGAAGATCTCGTTGCTACATCGTTTCCTGGCAGAAAGACAAGAGAAGGAAGGGCAGACCCTCCCCGATACTGCCTTGGGTCACACCTACTAAAGGTCATCTCCTAATGCTATCTCAACAGCAGCTCAGTTTCACCATGAATTTTAGAGGGAACAAATGTTCAAATAATTCCACTAATATGTTGTATCTGGTAGCTAAAGGATAACGTCTTCTGCTCTTTTTTCTTTAAGTGGGAAAACCAAGGATGAACAATTTGCAGTTACCTCCCCACGAAGCCTTTAATGATGAAGGTATTTTAATACTTACTAAGATACACATCAGCTCTTTTGTATGGTGGTTTATAGTATAGTGATCTTACATTTGACTATCACTTCAAAGACCAAAGTGTACTTCTATAGGTTTTTTACATTAGGTCTTTGAGACCTTATGATGTGGTGGAATTAGTCCCATCTTACACTTTCACAGGAGTCGCATGGGCTGTGTCTAAGGCCTGTTTCCCCAGCAAGCATGCGCCTTGCCTCAGGGAGGCCGTGGCTCTGCCTGCTTCCATCTGTCTGTCTCAGAAATTTGGCCTGATTAATCCATATTTTTTCAAATGCCTACATATTCTTATCATTTCATCTCTAAAAATATATGTAATTAATGAAAATGGATCCTTTTTCCTCCTGTGTAGTCTTCCTCCTGTCAATTTTTTTATTTTAATAAAGGCAGGAGGAGTTTTGAAATCTTGAGGTGAACATTTAAAATGACTGTTGTCCATCCTGAGAGGCATGGCTGTAATATGTAAAGTGCCAATGAGTTCCTGAAGGTATTAGCTTTGTGTTGGGAAATAAATTTGAACTTAATGCTCTTCACACTGGCAGTTAAGTATATTAGAAGGTTTTCCCTAATAGCAAATTTGCAACTCTTTATTCAGTGAACACAAGTTGCTGTGTTTTGAAATACAAATATGACTACCTTGAATCTAGTTTTCCCTTTTGTCTTGTTGATGAATAAGTATTTATAAACATGTGATGGATTTGCTCCCCCGGAATGTAGGATTTCAGTGCCTAGAAAGGATAGCTTATTTATTTATTTATTTGGTTTTACGAGACAGGGTTTTTCTGTATTGCTTTGGAGGCTGTCGGTCCAGTCCGGCCTCAAACTCACAGAGAACCGCCTGCCTCTGCCTCCCGAGTGTTGGGATTAAAGACATGCGCCACCACCCGGCAGAAAGGGTAGCTTATTAAGAACAGTTTTTTCTTCATTTAGTGATACTTTCAAAAAGTGATATGATGCTATGTTAAAATATAGAATTTTAACAACTTATTATTCTTGATAATGTGTGTGAGCACATGCAGATGTATACATGTACCCTTGAGGCCACAGGCAGACCATCACCTGGAGTTGGAGTTGCAGGTGATTGTGAGTCGCCTGATGTGGGTGCTAGGAATTGAACTCAGGACCTTTGGAAGAGCAGTATGTGGTGCTCTTAGCCTCTGAGCCATCTCCCTAGCCTCAGCATTTTGCTTTCTTAGTTGAAAACCTTTTTGCTCCAAATAGTTGTTCTTTTGAAACTAGGATAAGACATCTTAAGATGAGTTGTCTCCAACAATACTGAAGTCATAAGCTGTGCTTAATTAATGATGTTAATGGATTTCAGTGATGTAAAAGGGTTCTGGCCACACTGGTGTGTCTGACCTCTGCTAAACTTAGAAATTGGCCATGAGCTATGATGACTTAAACTCTCCATTTACCAGAGCCCTTGTTTCCGGGTAGATCCAGTGTTGCTATTGATTCGATGGTTTTGATTTTCTGATACTAGTACATTATTGTTCTGTGGAGATTTCCACTGGGAATGTAATCCTGGATTCTGTCATTACAGATGCAGACAGACTGTCTGAGATCTCTGCCCGCTCTGCAGCTTCCAGTCTCCGGGCTTTTCAGACTCTAGCGCGAGCTCAGAGAAGAAAGGAGAATTTCTGGGGCAAAACATAAACCCGTTCGTTCTCCTTATCTGGAGACACGTTGGCATCATCCTTCCGTACTGCTTACTGTGTTAAGGTTTTCCGGGTGTTTGATTTCCTTCTGACACTTCCAACTTAAATTACTTGATTTTTCAGTAGCTCATCTTACCCAGAAAATTTTCATTCAGGCATATCTAAATTTAACTCTGAGAATTCCTTTGTACTTATCTAAACACAAAGACGTAGATTATGTAGTTCTTTTGTATCGGGTGTTGGGGGCGGCTGGTAGAAGTGTGAATGTCACCTGTCCAGAGAATACTCTAAAGGGATAAAATGAAGTCAGAATTAAGATCTCCCAAGTCATATTCGCTCAGATTGCTTCGAAGCATTTTTATAGCCGTAGCTGTCATAAAAGGAATCTCCATTCCTTCGAGGTTTGCTTTAGTGTTTTTTATTAGCACCTTCTGTACACAGTGGCAGTGTTAAGGGAACTGTACTTTGAAAATCTGGCTGTATATATTTTTCTTATTTATGTAACACAGTTTGCTGAGAGAATATGTATATTTTTGATCTTTTTATGTATCCTATTTGTACAATAACTGACATACATTTAAATAATGTCTAGATTTTAACAAATTATTTGTGTAACGAAGAATTAAAACTTTGTAGACATTTAAAAATGAAAATTAAGTATGCTTGGCTTCTCCAAAATGTTATCATGTGGAATAAATGCCTTCTAGAAGCATTCTACTAGAATTGGCTAATCAAAAATTATACTATGTTTGCAGCTCTCAACTGCACTGAATCTGAGTCTACAATATTTTTTTTTGCACAAATACAAGGTTTTAAAAGCAGATTAATTAAAAAACATTTCACATCAACCTTGTGATTCTGTTTTTCACTTCTAGGATGTTTTTAGCAGTTGTGTATAAATCAGTAAATTTAAGCTTCTAGTAAGAATGGGTTTTATAAGCATGTTACACAAATCTCTATAATGTAAACTACTATGGTTTGGACTTTTTTTCTCACCAAGGAAGGATCTCTCTAGTTTCTAAGGCTGCCTTTAAACTTATGACCCTCTTGTGTAAGCTTCCTGAGTGTTGGAATTATGGGCATGTGCCATCTTGTAGTGACATCTCCCGGATGGGGGAGGTTGGGTTGGAAGTTTGGAGCTCATTTGATAGCCCTGTTGGGAGATGATGGAGACTCCAGCAGGGGAGGCCTAGATGGGGGAATTAGCTCACGAGGGGTGTTCCTTTGAAGGGTCTGTTTTGTCCCCAGGTGTCAACCTTTGCTGACCTGTGCAGATTTGTCTGTGAGACCTGGGATTTGAAGACCTTAAGGAATGAGGCTGACTACAGTCTAATGCAGCAGACAGCATCTGTCACTGTACTTGTCTACATGGATGTAACAAAGAAAGCAATGTTTGAGTTCAGAAAACATGATCAGGAAAACATGTCAATAAGCATGCACTAAATATTAACAGAGCAGCCCTTTCCCAGAACAGAGCAATTTAAACACAATTGCTATAGCTTATATCTGGGAAAGCACAAAAGCAGAAGGTCATATCCAGATTCAGGGTACACTGAGGACAGCACTCAACCTGTCCCCATACCAGATTGGGTTCTATAGCTATGTGCCGACGTCCAACAAGAATAAACATGTCTTATAAATTGAATGTAAATATTTAACACAGGAGGCATGAAATCACATCCAAGACAAACCTGGGAACAAAATGCACCTGAGGTAAAAGGCCCTCTGCCTTTTTCCCTGAGTCTCATGGTTCAGCCCCAGGACATTGTTCACCCGGGCCCTGACTTTCATATTCTGTACTCCTGGCTGCCATGAGATGAGTTCTTTGCTCTACCATGCCTGCAGCTCCATAATGCTGTGACCCAAAGCAGAGGAGCCAGCATATCCTGGACTAACTGTGAACCAAAACCCATTTTTACCCTTTTTGTTTCAGGTATTTTGTCACAGTGACCGCTGACAGTAGAATAGAGTAGACATTCAGAATTATCAATGCCCTTGGGTTAGAAAACGATCTTACATTGTTAATAAAATTGTGAAGAACTGTAAGTTTATAGATATTTGCCTACGTTCCACTGAAGAACTAACTGGTCATGAAAATGTCCTGAGACACCAGATACGGAAGGAATAAGGGCCTAGGATCTGGCACCACCTGGTTGTCGTTGCGCAGATAGGCATCTGTACAGGTGATCGCTGATGCTTGTGGGCTCTGAGTTCAAAACCGACTGTCTCTGGAAGTTCAAAGGTGTTTCTTCCTCTTGGGGCGATTCGTTTTGTTGGTTGGGAAAGTTCTCAATGGCTGAGAGCAGATCTGTAGTATAGCACAGATTGTAATATTTGGGTATACCATTGCAGTGAATCAGGCCTATGAACTTGATCTGTGAGCTATCAATTAGTTTAAGGATGGTTCCCATGGGCCTAGATTGTGACTTTACTCTGTGACACTTTGGTTCTGCAGTACATTACTGTGCCTCTTATCTTAAAAACTTGTTCTACAGTCCCAGGGATTTAATAGTTTTAGGAATCACTGTTTCAGCACTGGAGTAGCTACTTCAAGGGCATGAAGTTATGACTGTGTTGTCTTAGTAACCAGAGCCAGCCATGAAGTTTCCTAGTACTTAGAAGGAGCTGTGGGTGTGAGTTCACTTCAAATCGATTTTATTTAGGCATACTTTAATAAGCTGGCATTGTTACTATGATGATTTGGACAGGTAAACATGCCTGAAAACAGTGCAGCATCAAGATGTATGTCTAGCCTGTGTGTCCTAATTTCCCTCTCTTGTCAAGTCTGTTCCACAGCTGGTCCTCAGGCAGCCATGAATCTGAATTCACATAATGTTAGTCTGGTTTTCACTTGTATATTTTGGGATTCTTCATGTTTTGGTGCACATTTCTTTTTTAATTTTTTCACCTACTGGAAAACTTTGGATTTCTTGAAATTTGAGGCTATTCTAAACATATTTGCTATTCACATTGTGAGCCCTTGTGTGGAGCTGTCTTTTTGCTGTCTTCAGAAACACTCAGCAAATCCTGCCTTTGTTTGTCTTTAGTATATATAACCCCTCTCCGACCCGAGACAGGGTCTCTCTATGTATTCTTGGCTGGCCTGGAACTCATAGACACGCACCTGCCTCTGCCTTGGATTAAAGACATGTGCCACAATGTCCAGCCACAGTATACCCTTTTTTGAGCATATATATTAAAGGTACAGTATAGCCAAATGGGTGTTATAACTGGGTGACTTGGTATTTTTGTCTAAATTGGTATTTCCTGAGCCATACTCAACAGTGAACATTTAAGTCACTATATAAGGTTTTTCTCCCCAAAGCACACCCCCTACTCCTCTCTGCAGCCCCCATTCACTCCAGGAACTGACATTCTTCATGCTCTTCTGGTTGGAGAACCCAGTACAAATGCATGCATGTGCATATGTATGTGACAGGTTTGCATGCTAATTTTTAGTTTCACCTCTGAATCCCTTTGGAGTGTGAATTTCAAGTTAAGGAAGAACCATTAAGAATGATAAATGTTTGGTATGTTGTTAGGTAGGAAAGGTTATGCAATTTCAGTAGAATGGTGCTCACTTTATAGATACAACAGGTTTCTTTACTTGGTCCAAGAGTCCATTGGCTATTGAGTTAAATCTAGATCTTACTTGAACTCCACCTACACTCCCTTCTCTGAAGTGCTTGTGCTCAAATGTAATATCTACTATGAATCAGCTAGTTGTGGTTGATTCATTTGGGAGTTGATTTTTCTCTTTGCCTTCTTGGAAGGTAAAATATCTTCCTTTTTGAGTCAGGAAAGCAAGAGAATGCAGGCGGTGGGTTACCATAGGTGGACTCAACCATAATGGAAGTGAGTTGACATACAAAGGCCTCCTACAGAGCAAAGTCAAGGCTAGCTTTCCCAGGAGGCTAATGGAAGCCGTGCACCTTTGCTGTGGCTGTGCATACATGCAGTAGACACACCATAGTTTCAAAGCATATTGATCTTTCTGGATATTTACCAAAGGAACAAGTAGTCTAAAATAGTGGATAATTGTAGAGTTGTTCATATTAGATCTGGGAATATGTTTAGGGTGCTTTTACACATGCTGGGCCATAGTCTAAAGGGCCTAGTATTTGTAAGGCTGACATAATATAACCGTTATGTTTCCCAAAAGTAATTGCTATTGGACATCTAGGACTGTGCCCCTGATGCCTCATAGCTCACCCCTCCAGTTCACCTTGCAGTTAAAACCAGGCCAAGGGCTCTTCAGCTTTATGCTGATGGGCTTTCATGGTAGTGACATTGACCAAGGCTAGAGACATATTTGTCTTATGTTGAGTGTAAGCACAGAAAGACCCACCCATCACTCTCACTTTCAGAGCCAAGCTTCCTTGGTCCCATTGCATATTTCTTTCCACTCTGGTGCTCCCAGGCAGGGGGCGGCTCCCAGTCCTAATAGCTCTGACAAACAGGTGAAAACACACCGCTGCCCTCAAGGTGGCAGCCATTGTCTTTCTGCGTAGGGCTCATCGACTAATTCACTGGACTCTTTCAGAGCATTTCCTTGGAAACAGGGAGAAATGAGGACTTGGGGCAGGACACTGGACTGCCTCTGAGAGTCAGGTCCTGATGTCAACAGGTAGAGTGATAGTGGAGGAATTCACATCAATACAAGTCAAACAGTGAAATACTCAGGTTATGCTGTGAAATTTCTCCAAAGAGTCTATGTCTGATAGTAGGCTAGAGCTGGCCTACAGACCCATTGTTGAGTACTCTGTAAATCTTGAGCAGTTGCTAAAACACCAATAGTTTGAGACTGCCCCCAGCAGCAAGCTGTGTAAATCAGCATTTCTATTTCCCTCCCAGAGAGGCAATGTACGAGCTCCCCCTCTGCTGCTCCTGTAGCATTTGCCTGATGGAAAAACATCCAATTCCAGGAAACAAGCAGCAGCTGCAGTGTTTATTACACCACACATCCCTTGGCATATATGCTTGCTTCAGTTTTCTTTCTTGGGTGAAGTCCATGTAGAAAACAAAGTACAGGTGACCACCAGTAGACTTTCAGAGGGACATCCACAATAGACCTGTGAACCAGCCCAGTGTTGGGGAAGATTATTTTCAGGTGTATGACTTTTGTTTATGCTGCATTTGTTTAACTCTGTGAAGCTGTGCTACTGTGCCTGTCTAAAACATCTGATGGTCCTAATAAAGAGCCGAACGGCCAATAGTAAGGTAGGAGCAAGGATAACGGGGCTGGCAGAGCAGAGACGATAAACAGGAGAAACAAGGAAGCGGAGGAGAAAAGAGAGAACAAGGAGAGGAGGATGCTAGGGGCCAGACACTTAGCCATCCAGCGAGACATGGAGAAAGAAAGATATACAAAAGAAAGATAAAATCCCAGAGGCAAAAGGTAGACAAGTTAAGAAAAGTTGACAAGCAAAAAGTCAAGCTAAGGCCGGGCACTCATAACTAAGAATAAGCCTCCATGTGTGATTTATGTGGAAGCTGGATGGTGGGCCCTCCAAAAGACTCAAACAGCCAAAAGAGTAGAAAGTAAAAAACATACAATAACCCAGAGATGGGGCCAGGATTCTGTATGTATAACCTTCTAGAGCAGTGGCTCTCACTCTTCCCAATGCTGTGATCCTTTTTAAATACAGTTCCTCATGTGCTGACCTCCAACCATAAAATTATTTTCACTGCTACTTCATAACTGATTTTGTTACTATTATGAATCGTAATGTAAATACCCGTGCTTTCTGATGGTCGCCCTATGTGTTAGGTGACCCCTGTGAAAAGTCACTTGCACCTCTCCACAGGTCGAGAACAAGTCACTGTTCGATGGTTCCAAGGCTAAGAT